CTTGGAGGAGTGCTGAAGCAAGAATGTTAAATCTGGCTCTGAAGAATGCTATTATTTGTTTTGGGAAGATCAGGTCATTTAGATATCTTGCCAATTCCCACACCCCCTGTTTGATTCTGTCCCTATTGTGGAGAGGCAATCTATTTAGTTCTTCTTGGAACGCCATGTCCTTCATTCTATTGATTACTACTTGCTTTGCTTGATCAAAGCCTAGGGACATTAGGAATACTGGTGAGAACCCATAAGAGCCCAGCTTGTGATCAATTGCCTGTTTACAGAGGGAGGGGAAATTGTCAGTCAACACTCGTGGGGACAGTCCCTCTGGAAAGAAATGCTTTTTAAGCCAATGAATGATCATCATCTTCCAGGCTCTTACTTGAATTTGAGGCATGCCTGTCTCAATTCTTAACTGGGCATTTGGCGTTTCTTTGGGTGCAGCTAAGATGGCTCACAGGAATTTGTTTCTAGCAAGCCTTTCTTTGCAAGGATTCCTGTTTGTGCCCCATATAGAATTTATGCCAATGTTTTCACCTTGAAAAGTTTTAAGGAAGCAGGTACTAACTGACCTCCGCCTGTGTAAAAGAAGTGTTTAATTGCATTTGAGGACCTATTGGCTGCTTGCAATGTATGAGCCAGGTGTGCCTCCCATGTCCCTTGTGAGTGGAAAACCACCCCAAGGTATCTAAATGTTCTATCCTGTTCCAAACTATGTCCTTCTATTTTACAGGGATATTGGCTAGGTATTTTAGCAAAAACTAAAAAAATTGATTTATCAAAGTTAAGGACCAGCTTGTATTGCCTGCAATAGCCAAGGGTTGCACCAATTGCTCTCTTCAGTCCTACAGGGGTTTGTGAAATAATAGCAGCAGCAGCAGCATATAAGAGAATTGGAATTTTGTGTTGTGCTAGGTTAGGAGGATGGAAACCAGAGTTCTGTAAGAGATAAATCAGGGGATTAATATAGAAGTTAAAGAGGGAGGGGGACAGGATGCAAACCTGCTGTACCCCTTTTTGTACCCTTACTGGGCTGGTTAAACTCCCTTGGGGATTGCACCTCACTTTCAAGGTGGAATTGGCATACAATTTTTGTATGAGGAAGAGGAGGCGTTTATCGATAGTGGTGCATTTTAATTTCCCCCAGAGGGCGATCCTGGATATTGAATCAAAGGCCTGCTTAAAATCCAGGAAGGCTACAAAAAGACAGGATTTTTTTATACGTGTATTTTTGTACTAAATGGTGGAGTACCAAGATATGACCCCCCCGTCGATCTTCCTTCTCTAAAG